GCTGAGTGAGAACGGGAGGAAGACGAGTTTAGGGCAGAATGAGGCTGGTCATGGGGCAAGGTTTACGCCAAGAGTCGCCTGTTGCCCCTCCTTGGTGCCCAGCCTTACCTCCTCCCTTGGTCCAGTCAAAGCAGGAAGGAGATTCTGACAGAGATGGACAAAAACAGCAGCTGGTCACTGAAGGATGACTGACGACTAATGTGAAATCTGGAGAGAAGCAAAAAGACAAGTTGAACTGTGTTCGCTGATCCTCTGATCTGGACCATTTGACCCCTGCTGGAGCCCCAGGGGTCAGTCAGAGGAGAGGGAGGGGTGGGGGAAGAGGAAGGGAAGGACGGGTGGCAAGACACAGGACACCACACCCACACCTGCAAAGCCAAACCTTTCAGAGCCTCGTCTTTATTTTTTAGCATGCGGGCAGATGGTGAAAGCCCCCCAAAAGAAATGTAGCCATACTGACCGAACTGGCAGACAACCAACTTGTCTGTAACCAGCACCAAGCTAAGTCTGCTTTTCTCGTTTACACAGGACACACCAGCCAAGAGGCTGCATGCTTCTCCATCACAATTTTTCTTCAGTTTGAAGAAACTGTCTCTTGCAGCTGTATGTTAATTATTATTATTGTTGTTATTATTATATTAAAGAGGAGGAAAAAAGGTGTACATAAAGAGACAGTCCAGTGCTGCTGCTGGGTTGCTGGGTTGCTCATCTGTGATCAGTCTCTACGGCCTGTTTTGCAAATATAAGTATCTGAAATTCAGGTTCCACTTTTGTTTCTGTGTCGGTTCTCCTCTGTTTACTGCTGGCTTCTCTCTTTTTTAATATTACACAATGAACAGAGAGCACTTTGGTTGCACTCTTGAGTCGTAAAAGAATTTTAAAAAAAAAGAAAGAAAAAAAGCCACCAACCTGCGGTTGTAGCGCAGAGCGTCAGGTGTCACGCGAACTTGACCTGCAGTATCAGATGTCAGTCAGCCATGTGTGTTTTGTTCTGTCTTTCTTTTCCCGCAGCCTTTTATTACCCTCCACCCCCACATTTCAGAAACATCAGTGTTACTGTGTCAGAACTTGAATTTTTTCTCTTTTAATATATATTATTGCTGTATTATAGTGTACATGTTGGTATTGCTGTCAATAGTTTTTGTTCAGATGAAAGCCATCGTTTTGTTTTTTCTTTCCGATCTTTATTATTTGTTGGAGTGAGTGAACGAGTGAATGATCCCTTCCATTTTTATCAGCTCCCACTTTGTGCATGTTTAGCCTCTCCTCCGTAAATATTCTTAATGGAAGGACTGAAAACGAAAGAAGAAGCTCTACATCTGTCGTGTGACACTAAAACTAACTGATGTGAGCTTACAAGGGTTAGTCTGAGCTTTGCTGCACCTGTGGGGAAACACTTGCACTCATCATGCACTCAAACCGTCCGCGATGTCCTCTGAGCCATGCCTGTTCTTCTTCTTCTTCACCAGTACAGTAGCTCCTCTTCTCTCCCGGCTCTGGCTGTGATAAGTAGCATTTAATCTGCCTGTTAACCTGTCAACAAAAAAACAAGTAGCAACTAACTCAAACCGTCCGTGTGTTTCTGCATATTCTTCCTCTCTTTCCTGTCTCTGTCCATAAAGTATCCAAACAGTATCCGTGTGATGTTGAGATTCTTCTCAGTAGCTAAACAGCGATCACGTCTCCGTGATAAAGCTGCGATCTCTCTTTGCTTGCCGCGTCTCTGGAGGAACTTTAAAAGCTGGAAGTCTCAGTGATGATTTAGTGTGTGTTTTTTGTTTTTTTTAGTATCACTTTGAACCATTTAGACATTAAAAAAAAACTGTTTTCGGAGTTGAGCTGAAAGGGCATGGCTGATTCTGGTCAAATGTCTTTTAGCTGATATTTGATGGGATGATGTTTGTTGTGTATGTCTAAGCTGTCCATGTGGAGAAAAAAGAAGAAAAAAAAAAAAGGAAAAAGTGAATGTACCTGTCACTGGAAGGCATGCTCTGCTTTCTTTGGTTGTTTTTTGGTTTTGTTCCTCTTTTATACACAGTGTATGTACTATTTATGATCATGCTTTTGGGATGTACATTGATTTAAAAAAAATCTGTTATAAAAAGGTGTTATAAAAGGATATATTATCCTGTGTACGGTTCATTATCTACTATTACTCATGGCGACATTTTAACAGGCCATACTCAGTCACTCATTTTTTGTGCTATAAAGCAAAAAGCAAAAAAAACAAAACAAAAAAAAGCCTTGTGTCTGTCTGCGCCACTCTGGACACAGTTATCACAGTATGTATGTATAAGGTGCGATTTGTGTTACATTTCCTCTTTTTTTTTAATGATATAAACATGTCTATGGTTGTAAGAAGAAAAAAAAGACTTTATGAGGGAAAATCCATCTGCTTATTAAAAAAGCAAAATTGCAGCCAAGCACGAGTGAGTTGAGTCATCTTTTGAACCTGACTTCACGAACCAAAAGAAGCTCACACAATCATTCACTCGGTCAACACCAACAAAGGATCCAACCTGAAAGAAAATCACAAGAGACGTTTTCGCTTGTGCAGAGCCCACCTGCAGTACCACCGCCCACCACTAGTGGGAGCTGTCCCAGTTTGAGAACCTAAGAGGAGCGTACAAATCTTTAAAATAAACATTTGTTGTTAAGGAAGCATATAAATTCATTGAGCTAGAGGGCTTTCATCTACTCCGGATATTTATGAATTGTGTTGTTCTGTGACGCGTCATTAGGCTGTAGTGCAGTGTTTTCCCAACCACACATAATGTGCCGTGGAGGATTATCTGGTTTCACCTGATTAGTACTCTAAGCAATCGTCGTAATGGGCAGAACAGTTACATTATCTTCTACTAGAGGGCAGTACAACTACCTGCTCTAATTAAATTGGTTGCCAACTGCCAGTAAAACAGAAGAAGGAAGAAGAAATTACATAATAGTCATTCTGTCAGACAAAGCAGTGCGTATAAGGAATAGATAAATATTTGAAAAGAAAAGGTAGTCAATCTGACCTAGGTGCTGGAGGTTATTCTGACCCAGATGAAGGCCCTAGCATGAGCAGTGGTCAGAAGAAAGCGAAAAGGGCATACTGGGGACAAACCGAGCCAATTCAAAACAAAAATTATCAATATGCTTTTGTGGCATTTTTGTTTGGTGTGATTTTTCTAATGTGAAATATGTGCTGTGGCTCTAAAACGTTGGGAAACACTGCTCTAGTGCCACCGTCAGTGCAGAGAAAGACATGGAGTGTGCGAGAGGGTAAACCTAATATTTAAAAAGTAGAATTTATTAACACAGAGTATTTCTTTTCTACAACAGTTATACAATAAGATTTGCTCCAGAGGAAACTGCAATCAGAAACGGTTACATAAGCTTTTTGTGTTGGCACCACACCTTCTCACCTCTGTGATCGTCTTCATGCTGATGTGTTTTGAGTGATGTCTGGTATGGTTTTTTTAAGCTCAGGTTCAGATAGAAAAGGTCTGAATACAATATATTGTTTTTTACGTTATAGCCTACTAGTGGAGGTATTTTTTTCTTCAAATTTTATCTAAAATAACATAATGCGTTTACCTGACAAAAAGCCACGTACCGCTGAATTACTCATATAATTATCCGAGTACATAAAAAAGAAACAAAAACCAGCCTTATTTTAAGTGAATGCATGATACTTTCACAACCACAGTATGAAAAACTAAGTGCACCCTTTGCACTTCCATAGGAATCAAGAGAGTAAGTAGCAGCAAATGTCACCTCCTCTATAAAAGCAGAAGTTTTGTCAGTTTGCAGGTCTGGAGCACTCAGGTGTTTGTTAACACAATGTGAAGAAGGAAAGGTATCGACAGTGGTCTTAGAGAAGCAATGAGCTGCTGCACATCAACCTGCAAAGGTTATACATCTATGGTCCAGTGAGAAAGATTATTCACAGCTGAAAAATAGTCAACAGAATATCCCAGTAATTTCAACCCAAGGTCTGATTTCTAAAAAACAAAACAAAACAAACAAAAAACATGGCAGTACAGCCTGAGGAGGTTTTGGTCAGTCACTTCAAGGTCCCCAGCCCAAATCACCATCCCCCCGCCACGGTGCCTGACAGTTGATAAGAAGTGTTTGTTATGCTGCATTTAATTTTCTCTAAATGTAGATCTGTGCATTTTGGCCAAACGTCTCCGCTTCGCTCTCGTCTATCCAAAGGACATTGGTTCAACAACTCTTGTTGAACAATCTACAAGAGAATGTCTGAAAATGAATGGATCAAGGTGCTGCAATGATCCAGTCAAAGTCCGGATCTCAGCTTGACTGGAATGCTGTGTATGGATGAAACACCATAAAGCTCAGTGAACCGAAACAGACTAACCGCTGTGAGAGCCAATTTCCTCACTACTATGTGATAAAGTCACACAGTAAATAATTACTTCAAGTTACTGTTTCTGAAGGTGTCTCTACAAACTTTCACAGAACAGCAGAGGGGCTGTGAAAACGTTTATACTGGACTATAGGAAAATGATCAATCATGAGCATCCCTGGTTGGTAGAAGGTGGCAGCAAACGAGCGCAAGATAAAATAAAATATGAGTTGTGGTTCTTCGCAGAATATTTATAATACTGTAGAATATTGTAGTTTTTTACCGTGACTTTAACAGCTTTTTAAAAACGTTTTATTTCAAATGAATTCAAAATCATTACGGTCACACTCTACTTTTTTAAAGTTTCGCTTAATAATATAGCTTTTTAAAAATATGAATTTCTTTATATTTGTATTACAGTCACTTTATTTTTCATTTATATAACATAGGCTATTCAAATCTACGGTTTGCTGTAGAACAAAAACCGTGTGTTATCAAGCGGCTCAAAAATGAAAGTGAACGAACAGCAGAGAAGTTTCCACGTTTACCGAGAAACGTGCGTGTGTGTGTTTCTACCGCTGGCACATTCACGGACGTTCAGAGCGGGCCGAACGAGCAGGAAGGAGACTGGTTAGAAGAAAAAAAAAAAGAGTTTCTCTTCCACTAAAATGAAAGCAGGGCGCAGTTTTAAGTTGTGAAATGTCGTGGCGGGGGTTCACCTGCTGGGCCCTCCCTGAGGAGTCCACATAAGTACATTTATTCTCTCCAGCTGACTTCACATCTGTCACAAGGCTCAGCAGACTTACAGCAACCTGCAGGCTGCACGGTGAGTTCAATACACGCTCTCAGTGGCTGACTACAGCTGTGACTGAGGAGGCAAAATTAACTTTAAAAAGGTTCAGTTTAAACACTGACTGTTGTTGTTTTGTTTGTTGTTTAATTTTTCATCTGCAGATGGCTCAAGACAGAACTGTCGTTTTCTTTGACCTGGAAACCACTGGATTAGGTACTAATCTTTAATAATATAACGTTTCTTGTTGTATTTTGTTTTATTTTATGTTATTTTAGATAGAGCTTTTTTGGAGTAAATTAAACCTCAGCATCATTGGATGTGAATGAAATGAAAGCAGTAGTTACATGCAGTTGCAACTCTGTGCCTTTATTGCCTAATACTGCATTCACTAATTTACCAAAACAGAATTACAACACGCTTTAAGCACCAAAACATCACTTTATTTACTTGATAGAAGGCCGCTGCTGCACTTAGTTTTTTTGTTTAAAATATATATATATAT